CTCTCGCTTCGGGAGGGTTTCCAGGCAGCACCAGCCCCCGAGCCTCTGGGCTGCCCTCGCCCCGGCTGCCCCTGCCTCGCCTTTTGGTTTTGCTTTGTGGCCCCTAGGAAGTGGCTGGGAGCGAGCGGAAGCTCCCAGGGATTGGTTTTCTTTTCTTTTTGTGGTGGTGACTTCTAGCTGCTCCGGCTCTCCCCTCTGTGACCGGAGAACCTGGGCAGGGGGTGATTCTTACTCTTCATTTTTCGGTCACCTTTCTGTTTCCGAGACACTGCGGATGCCTGAGCTCTTGTTGGAAAGTTTGCAGGGCTTAAGAAGGGCATAAACCGTAAGATGGCTGTCTGGTCTTGCCAAGTTTTGTTTGGAGGAGAAGTTGGCAGACCTGATTCAGGGAAGGGGAGTCCTCTGAAGGGCCTTTAGTAAAGGGGAGCATCTTGTTGGGGTGGTGCTGAGCCAGCCAATGGCAAAAGCCGGTGGATGCATTGGTAGGTCACTGAGATCCTTAATCTGCACCCCTGTTGAGCAGATGTTTTACCTATCTTCTTGGATTTTCTTTGGTTTGGGTTTTTTTTGGGGGGGGTTGGTGAGGAAGGTCCCTTATTTTCTTGCGCCTTCATCAGTCAAGACAGTGATCAAGACTTATTAAGTGTGGCCCCCATCTCTGTTTTTCTTTCTTGGGTCTCTGTTTTGGTTGAGACAGGTTTTATCTGAGAATGGAAATCGGTGTAACAATGAAAGTTAACTGCCTGTGTCAAATATCCCAGTTCCTCTAAAAGCAGGAGCATATTTTGGAAATTTTATGTTAACTGGGGTTGAAACGAAGGTAAGTTTCCTTCTTTGCAAAAGCTTTGTCCATTCAGCAGCTGTATGTTGAGCTGTATGTAGAAGGATTTCCTTTGCTCTTGTTGCTGAGGTTAGAAACTCTGGAGAGAGGGTGCATGATTGTAGGTCAAGAATTCCAGTTGGAAAACAGACAATTGAAAAGACTCTGGAAGAATTACCCTCTTGAAGAGCCTGTGGATCATGTGTGGGGTTTTTTTCCTCATGAGCTCTTGCTGACTGTCTTAATGTCCACTATTTGTTCAACACAGAATGCATCTTGAGAAGATAATCTGAAACATTTATTGAGAAGCATCATCTTTTTTTCTTCTTCCCCTCTGTGAAGGAGTCCTTGTCCATGACAGTCTTTACTGATTCTCTCTTCCCCCCCCCCCCCCCCCCCCCCCCCCCCCACCAAACAACACCCCAG